GTGCGTATGCAGGCGCGAAGAGGTTTCTCACTCGGAAACAAAACGGCAATTCGCACAATCATCAAATATCTCCATCAATCAGAAATCTCTATGATCTGACTCAAATCAATATACAGCTTTCTGATTGGTGGAGATGCTTTCGGGCGCACGCCCCCCCCCCCCCCCAACCAATACCACAGCGTGAATGTTAGAATGTCTGAGAGCGTGAGATGAGTGGGATTACTTTGTATCTCGCGAGCCCATCCTCTCATGAAATTACCCGATTTGGGGTTGCGACCACAACGTTTTTGGAACCGCTGCCCTATTCCTTTGAGAGAATTATTCCGTATGTTTAAACTAAGTAGTGGGCTATTTCATGGGGCCCTGTTTGTCAGTACGAAAAACAAGAATAGGTTTTACCCATTTCTGGCACTGATGTTCAAAACACCGCATTTTGCAAGGAATCAAGTCTGCATTCACGACACGTACTTTTGCCAGTATGATTTTTCATACTGGCAAAAAGGTATCCCATGATGAAGCTGCTCACCCCCGACCTATAAATGCCCTGACACGTGTGGCACTGTCTTTGTACTGTTCGCCTTTTGACATTCTCTGGTCTGACACTGGCGAGACAAGGCCATCAAGAAGGCTGTCTCTGGTGTAGGCCAATAAGTCTCAAAGACAATGCATAATCAATTATCAGAGCGTGTTTGTTTGCATGTTCACCACAAAGTACCGTGTGTGGTTAATGCGAACTTGATTTCTTGCGTACGGTTTCTATTTGGTATTTGAACATCTTATCCCCTCCTGTTTTATTGCCAGAAAGGGTTCGACCTATTCTGAAGTAGTGGCCTCATGGAAATGGGAGGGAGGCCGTTGTTGTATGCAGTGAGCCCAATGCGGGTAACGCAAAGCAGATCCTCTCGGACTATATTAACACTCTAAATCACGCGGCATGAATAAGCGCGGGCATTCACACCAGCGATAGTTCACACACACACAAAATAAAAAAGCGAGCGAGAGGAGGGAGAGAGAGAAGAGCGTGGGAGGGTGAGCTGGAGAGAGAGTGAGAGCCTGGGAGATGGAAAGTGTGAAGAGATATTATAATTGTGAGAGGGTGAGCTGAGGAGAGAGCCAGGGAGATGAAGAGAGAGAGAGAGGAGATAGCAGGAGTGTGACATGAAGAGAGAGAGATAGACAGAGAGAGAGCGTGAGCGTACGGGTGATGCAAATAAAGATAAAAGATCGAGGGAGTGTGAGCCGGTGTGACAGAGAGAGCCAGGGAGATGGGAAGAGAGGAAAAATATCGTGGGAGTGTGAGCCAGAGAGAGAGACTTTTTGACTTTTAACAACTTTTATTGCCGCCAGCAGCAAAAGCACTGGAGGACATTTCGATATGAAGTACACAAAGTCACCAGCAACAAATGAAAATGCAATGCAAACAAATGAAAATAAACGTTACAAATCCATGCGCTGTGGCGCTCAAAAGCACCGCGCACAACATGAAATAAAAGTCACGTGGTGGTGGTCATCGCGCACGCCACGGTGACGAGCGAGCGCTTCAGAAGGTGAACACGTGGGGTGCCGTCCACGCTAGTATAGAGAGCTTTTCCGGCTCCCCAGCGTTCGAAGAAGACGTGCACATCACCGACATGTGTGTGGTACGTGGCGTGCTCCAGCCGGAGCCGCGCCTTAAGCAGGCCCCTGAACACTGGAAGCAGCACAGAGCAGCCGTCAGTGTCACCTTGCAGCATCGTTTTTCTCGTTCTGTACACCACCATATTCGCCTGAGCACAGGCGAAGTTGGCGAGGTCATGGCGTTTGTTAGCCAGGTAAGGCACCCCATATACGAAGCTTCTGTTGTAGAAGGGCACCCCCAGTTTCCTGAAGATGTCCCCCAAAAGGCGGAACATTGGTTTGAGCCGCTGGCAGCGTAAGTACTGGTGGGGTAGATCCTCCATGGCACTGCAGGAGATGCACCAAGTCTGTTACCCCCTGGCGAGATTCGGCTGAGCCACACGGCCGATGGCAACGTGCAGTGTGCCAACCTCCACTGGAGGTCACCGCAGCGTTTGGCTACGGGAGACTTGGACATTTGTTTACACTGGGGGGGCGGCCGCAATGAGGGGAGAGAAATGGTCTCTCCGTTTTGTGTCCGGTAGGTCGGCCAGGTCCCGGGAATGCAGCGCCTTTACACAGCCACGTGTAGAGCGCTGTGTTTGGGGCACTCTTGAGGGGCACGATCCTGCAGCCTCGGAGCTTCAGTAGCTTGCCGGAGTCGCTGTGGCCGGGGGGGGGGGGGTGCGCGCAGGAGAAGCACAACTCCGGGAAAGAGGAGGAAGGGGGTGGAGGGCCGCCACCATCTCCCGGTGCCTCCAGCTGCAGGCGCAGCTCCTTCATGGCGCGGAGCACGTCAGGGAGATGGAAAGAGAGAGAATATCGTCGGAGTGTGAGCCGGTGTGGCAGAGAGAGCCAGGGAGATGGGAAGAGAGGGAGAGAATATCGTCGGAGTGTGAGCCGGTGTGGCAGAGAGAGTCAGGGAGATGGAAAGAGAGAGAGAGAATATCATCGGAGTGTGAGCCGGTGTGGCAGAGAGAGCCAGGGAGATGGGAAGAGAGGGAGAATATCGTAGGAGTGGGAGCCAGGGAGAGAGAGAGAGAGCACCAGGGAGATGAAAAGAGAGAGAGAGAATATCATCGGAGTGTGAGCCGGTGAGGCAGAGAGAGCCAGGGAGATGGGAAGAGAGGGAGAGAATATCGTGGGAGTGGGAGCCAGGGAGAGAGAGAGAGAGCACGAGCAAGCTGCCCACACGTGGGAAGGGACAACTCCCCACCCTCCCCGGTGTCACCGACATCACCCCATCCATCAGCTGCCCTGGCCTGACACCCCTGCACCGGCCAGGGAGCGGCGGCCGGGCGGCCGGGATTATGATGTATGAAACCATTACGCGGCTGAAGATGGTCTGAGCTACCACCGCGAATGGGGTCGTGACATTTCCACCGGCGTGCGATAGTTAGATATGCAGATGACGGGGGGGGAGGGGGTGTGGGGCCGGGCCGGGCCGGGCGGAGGAACAGCACTCTCACCGGCGCGGGAGGAGGACCGACGGGAAATGATTTTCGCGCTCCCCCTGTTTGCGGCGTTGTTCCGAGGCGCACGGCGCCTCGCTTGGAAGTGCGGACGGCTGCGTGCGGCGCGAAGGAAGCTGAACGTGCGTCTGACGTGCTTAAGAGTGGCGTGACGCGAAATGAAGATGTACATTTGCAAGAGCTATACGCACGTTAATATATCTCCTCCCACACATTTCAATGTGTCAGTGGATGGGGAGGAGGGGCGGCAGTGCAGCGGGTAGCTCCTTGCACCTCCCCCGCTCACGGCCAACACCAGTGAAAATGATCTGAACCAGTCCTGGGCCTGTGCTAGGTCGACTCAGCCTCAAATGAGTGCCTGGAGCGTTGCGTTAAATATCACCATGAGGGAGACAAAGGCGGCCGGCGCGTCATTCTGGCCAACAACCCCCTTGTGTGCCCTGCAGGCCTTCATAGGTGTTTGCTAACAGCACTTGCAGCCTGTTAAGGCTGCACTAGATACCTTCGTCTTGCGTCAGTGGACTGGGTTAAGATTTCAGTTCAGGCTTTGCGTTCAGTTCCGTGGACTTTGCTGTGTAAAGTACTGCGTGGACAATGTTAATCATGTATTATTGTGATCGTGCTGCCAGTCATCGACACGTTTTAACCCGAAAACTCCAGAAACACGCGGGCGCTGCGATCGCCTCGTCGAGAGAACAGATTAACTATCACCCACGCGTCCCCCAAGCCACCCTTTCATTTCGCAAACTCGTAAACTCGTGAAATAAAAGAGCAGAAAAAAATGTAAACAGGCGAACCAATAACCCTTTACGAAATGCGCGTAAAATTCAATTTCTATTTTACGCACGCATAAAACATTTTTTTTTTGTTTAACGCCTCCGATCGGTTAATTCCGGAAGACGTTCACCACCCGAAAGAAAAAGCCCGACCCGACGTCCGCGGTACCCAACAAAACAGGCAACTTCGCAGATATATTTAGACGGCCTAATGCAGGGAATTTGTCATTATTGATTACATCCAGGCTGGACATTGTGGAAGCATAATGTCTCCTCACCCCTGGCCCGAGCTGCACTTCCCCGCTGCTGCCACCCCACCTCGCTAATCCGTCTATCGCCTTTCCCTTCGGTACACGGGGGCCCATGCGTCTGCCCTGAGCCCGTTCTACTGCTTTTCATTAGGGCCGGGGCCCTTCATGGCTGAGCACACCCCTGACAGGTCATTAACTTTCATTACCACTGCAGGTCAGTGAGTAAATTTCATCTCGTGGTGGGCGCCGGCGATGAGGGATGGGAGCCCGGCAGTGTTTGACACATTCATAACACGACTCGGGCGACCTGCGACATTCCCCGTTTCAAACGAGATTAGAGCCCGCCTCGTTTTTCACCGTCGGTCTAATGCAGATTGGGCGCCTCCATTACACCGAGAGGCTTGTCACCGGCGCCGGCGAGGAAGGATGGCTTTGGCTCGACAGCCCGTGACCTTGCCTTGTTAGACACCGCCCCGTCGCAGGACTCGGTGAGATGCGCGGTGTTGCTGCCTTTTATTTATTTGGCACATTCCCATCTCCATCATTTTAATACATCATCCCACCCACCCGCCCGCCCACCCACCCACCACCCCCGTGCCTCGAAAACGGATTTTTTTTTTTGGTACGCGCCAAAGTCATGCAATTGTTTCAGCAAAGGAGCAGATCTGTAAATCAAATATTCAATTCCGGCAGTGGCGGTGGCTCTGCTGGGCTTGTCTTTTTGTTGGGTCGTGCCTTCTATTCCTTTTGAGATGGCACGTTTCGGAAATGCAAACATTTACCGCGGTATTTCACCGCGGTGAAAAATACATTTTTGAAAACACTATTACGGAATGAAATAAACGTACGACACGTACAACAAGCACGAGGCGGGTGTGGGGGAAGGGGGGGGGGAACACATTGCA